AGTAGCTCTCCTGTGTCTGTAGTTTCACATTCACCCTTGAGTTCATGTTCCGCATGCACCCGATTTGAATCGAGTACACGCCAACCACTGTTCAATGAATTACCCAATGTTTTCGGTGTTTTTGTTTAAGGATGGCGTTCGTCGTAGTTGTGCATGTCTATGGGTGTGCTCGATTGGATCACAATTTCTCGACTACGTTTCCAGCTAGTATTGGTAACTGAGTGGGTTCCTAAAATTTCCTTTTTTTTCTGGATGGCCTCTTATCTAGACTTTGACAAACACAAAAAATCTTGATGGTTTTTGTGCATCTCTTTTTTGCACCAGTCAAAAACACCTCAGTCCCGTGTGTGGTATACATGATTCCGGGAGACTCCATTTGCACCAGTAGTAAGATGGATGCAATTCAATTCAGTTGAACGTTGTGAATCTGTGAATAATCTGCGAAACATATTCCAACCATACACTTGCGCCTAATTCAACATTATGACATATATTAATGTCATACACCCGGTTCCCTTTAGGACTTTCACAAGAGCAAGAGCGAGCATCGTCACAGGATAGGTTGAATTCAAATGTTTCACGTTATCTCTTCAGCTGTGCATAAACATTCATGTGAAAGTTCAACCAGGACAATGACAATAATAATGTGATTTTGTGTGAGGTCAATCTTTAGGATACAAAAGAAGTCAGAGCACAGAATGGCAAACAAACATGGTAATTATTCTGAATGTTTATTTTAGGTAGAGTTTTCTGAAAAACCAGTGCTACGTACCCTCATTGGAAAATATCGCCGATAGCATTCTTCTTTGATGATCATAGACTAGTTACAGTTGGTAGTAGACTTTCCATATCCTGCAAACAATTCATGCAATCAACTAACAATACTACAGCTACTCATTCCAATTTCCGGAAAGTAAAAAAGCGGTTCCCATTATTTAACAATCTATCAAGTTCGACAACTGAACCGGAGAACAATGAGTCAGCAGCTGAGGTAAAATCTTCCTTAATTGTGAGTTGCGTATGTTCTGTTTCTGTCAGTTCGACTATCTGTTTTCTTGAGTTACTTACTCCATTTTTCCCTTCTTGTTATCAGTACGTTTGATCCCTGATTTAGCATGCCCTCCTGGTCGTCATTTTGTGCGTTATTGGATTATCACATGACTTTTTGCTCTTCCACGTGAGGAGAAGGAGGAGTGGCGTAGGCAAGTACACGTGAGTTGTTTGTATGGACTGATTCCTCGAGAAATTGTACGTTGTATCCTGAACGAGTATGGGCCGTGAATGTGATCGACATAGAATTGACCCAGTATTCCTCTGGAGCTCCGTAGAATGAAGCGACTGGAAATCGGTCACGTTTTCCGATAGACGACCGTAGTCCCGACATTTGTTTCTTGTTGTCTATCTTTGTAATTTTATTCTGTTGTTTCAGACGCATATAGGCTATTGGTCAGTGGAACAGTTCACTGAAATAGTGCCGACTTGCAGCAGCACAGTCTTGGAACTTCCTTTCATTTTGCTTTGGTTCGTCAGTTGACAACATCAACTAAGTAAGCTGACCGAATAACCACAGCATAGAATTGTTTTCAAAGGACATCCTTCTGAACCATTTGGTACTTTGTTCGGTTTCGTTCTTCGGAACACAGTTCGAGCACAACTTCTGCAGCAGATTTGGTTGGTTATTTTTTTACTTTCAGAATTGGACTCATATAGGAGCGTCTTTGAGGGGGTGGTGGTGATGCGATCAGGATACTTTCTGCAGTCTCGGTGCATATAAGGGCTTGTTTACTGTCTTTTTTCTGATCCCATTAGGAGGGAGATGGTGTTGAACGCGTTCTTAACAACATTTTGCGGGTTTTCTCGTTCAGACTTCTTCAAGAGGATAAATGTGTCTTCTAGCGCAACTTTACACAGGCGTCATCGAAATTTTCCAGATTATTATCATATACCCAACTCCTTTGGTTATTAATCCAAATAGCGCAGATGCGTTCATTGAAATCGTTCTTAGACTACCCTGCAAAGTTGACATAAGGCTGCGGTATAATTTGATGAAATCGCAGACTATAGGTGGTTCTATGAATTGGATGCTCGTTTGTTAGGCTCCAGGATATGATGTGTTTTCGTGGGGAGGGAAGGAGGACAATCAAAAGGAAATCGTTCGCTCGTCATTTGTTTCGTTGTGATAAATGTACATCTAGTCCAATTTCATCTCTGATTGTTGAGTAACATCAAATTAGACATGCGGTAATAACATTGCTGTTTCATCATCCCCATTTGGATGTGCACATACGCGAACAAATCAAGACCGACAGAAGGGAAACTCAAAGTGCATATCCAGACCACACAGAGAGAGCATATCTCTCCATACCCCTTTCCTGATCCATAAACATGAATAAATGTATTGGTGAGTGGACTAGAGCTCAGAAGTAGTTGTTTAATAATTCTAGCTGTGAATAATTCAATAAGTGTATCTCTTACGGGATATGTAATGTGATACTTCTCTGCTATGGTCTCATAGGTATCTTATCCTCTAATGTCTTCATTACTACCATTCATATTCGTGTCGGTATTCAGAAGAAGAATGGACCTAGAGGGTCAAGTTGTCAGTTTTATTCGATTTTGATTTACTTAGATAATTTGTTCATCATCCCACTTCAGTATCAACCATAGAGCATACGGCAGCTGTGTGAGCTCCGTCACCATCACCATCACCACCACGTGGAAGGACACATCACGTCCTCTTGTCCCTTCATAGTCACAGCAGGTACTCATACCCTCACGCTCTGTAGATATGGATGAGTGTAATGATTTGATCACTATACAAAAACTAGTAAACTTTCAATTTGGGCACTGTACACGATGCTGTATCAGGCCACTGCATGTGTGTATCTGTAAGCAATCAACCGAAGGCTATTAGAGTACAAACACAACACCAGGAATGCAACCGAAGATTAAGTATGCAGACCAGAGGATGGCCACTGTTTTCCCATTCCCTTCCTTGGATCTCATAAACTGAGTGATAAGCAAATTGGCGTTAGACGATTGGCGTGCACTCGATTCAAATCAGGTGCATGCGGAACATGAACTCAAGGGTGAATGTGAAACTACAGACACAGGAGAGCTACTCCATGATAAATTTCTGGGCGGAATTACTTGTTGATGGTTTCAAGGTAGGTAGAGTGAGCGTGAATTGGGGCCGACAGCGTTGGTGGTAAATATCTTCATCGGTCAAAAACACCTCAGTCCCGTGTGTGGTATACATGATTCCGGGAGACTCCATTATTCGCACAACGCGCTGTAGCAGTCGTAGTTTCCAGAATAATACCTAGACAGTAATGCATACTTTAATTTTTTTCGAGTCCTTTAAAATATACAGATGTTCCGTTCTTATGTGCATCTAAAATTGACCTTGTGCTGCTTGTAATCTTGGGTTTAGTCCTATTAGGTAACTACGTGCGTCATTTTAATTCAAAATCCGATGTACTCGAATCAAATTAGTGTAAATTTTCCAAACATTGTATGAGTTTCTTCTCATGTCATCCGCCTCAAGACATTGCCCACACTCCACCATTGTTAGTTGTACACAAATGAGCTCGACGGCACTTGCTCAATGGCCCCCACGTCAACTTCAAGGGGGGAGGGATTGTTCTTCAGAGAAATTTAGAATTAGATTTCAGCCCCCGTGACGTGTTGTCCGTTCACAGGGTCAACCTCACATTCACGCGAGTCAAGCGAAATTCTCACATCATTGTACACATTGTGTTACAGGCATCCTTGTGGAAGAACTAGAAATTGTGTAACTTCGATAACAAACACACATGAGAATAGTGGAGGATTTGTGTTGTTTATATGGTGAATTCGTTGTGTAAATGAGACGTGAGCTGAAAAGCTGGCAAGCACTGGGCAGCTGCTTCGACTTGTTTGGGTCTCATCAGCAGTGCAAATCCATCGATCCGACTGAGGATGAAACTCGGGATATCACAGGTAGTTAAGTTAAGTTAACCAATGACATCCGAGATGATTTCATTGTTTTACGTTTATTGTTGGCATAGGGAGTAACAACAAACACCGTTTATATAAGAACCTTGAATCCCCACTGTCAATAAATCGAATGCGCTTGAAATTCAAGCCTCTGTCGGCTTGTGACACCTTCCATTACTATTGAATTCGTAAAACAACACTGCCAGTCTCAAGATTAGTCTACTATTCTGGAATAGCTATTTTGCATCGTTACTTCTTTGTATCGAACTACTGTAAGTAAGCCCCAATGAGAAATCTCACGAACTGTTGAAAATTCCGTTCTCCTGAGCGTACAGCCTAAACGGTTTTGATGGTATGATTTGCGCAGCATTTACAACTGAAGGGTCAGATTTGAAATGAGTGAAACCGTTTGAATAACTACAAAACATCGAGTCTCCAACCTCAATGAAAATTAAATGATGACTATTGAGAACTGTGCATAATCCAAGACCTGTTCCATCTGACCACTTAACTGTTTCCTTCATGGTGAAACACTGTGAAAATCAGAACATTTCAGACTCGATAAATGATGTTGTTTCAAATGGTGCAGTTATGCCATATGGTAATACTGACGACTTCTCGGGAGACCAACCGGTTCATGATGAGAGCGATGATGAGTGCGAAGCAACATCAGAGTAGTTTCCACCCTGCTGTTTTCAGTTCAGGCTAGGTCTTTTCCTTAGTTAGCAGGTAAACGCCTGTTGACTGAAACCTAAGCGATAAAATAAGTGATTTGTTGATCTCACAGCTGATGGTCTGAGTATAAGCATATTTCACAGCATTATGTTTGTAGTACGTGGAGAGGAAATTTCGCGTCGGGCTCGGTTGGTAACCGGCTGGGAATACCGGGTGTTGCGGCAGTTCCCTTTGGGGTATTTTGCAGCTGAATTTGCATCAGATGATGTAATACAACATGTTCTTGACTTTACTTGATATGACCTGATATTTCGAGACCATAACATGTGAAGTTTGTTAAAAAATGAGACAATCTATACCGTTCAGGTTTACGATCCCTCAAACCTCTCAGACACTCTTAACGAGAACAATGTCAGATCCGACTCAATAACATCACGGATATGACCTCGTCAGACTATTATATTCCATCTTTAACGGTCCACTAGAACCACCTCCCATCAGCTTTGAATTATTATACAAAGTGAAGGTGTTGCCTAGGCACTGATTTCCGTCTGATTCACAAAAGAACCGCTTGATGAGAATGAGTTGTTCCAAATGATCAATGTACTATTATCGATCAGCTCATACGCGCATTTCTCATCCAAATCTCTTCCCATGGGGTAAACACTGGACGACGAGCGAGTAGATGCACTTTGTTTCAAGCCCGCTTATGCATTTTACCTGTGTTTGATCATCTCAGTCTATTGAGCATGTCCTTGGTGCTGCTAGACAGGACTCCATGGTTCTTGGCGAAATAACTTTTATGCATTCTTTCTCCTTCTGATTAAACCAAGTATCGTCGAAATTTACAGAAAACACGAGAACAAAGTAAACCTTTTCCGAGAACGTTCATTCAGTTGAATGCAAGAAAACTAGATGGATTAGGCTCCATTCGCGGAGATCCGTCAACCCCATCCGCGCTTGCTGATCCGCTGCTGTTCTCCCGCCGATGAGAAGCCCGCTGGTTGTGCTTGAGCGCCTAAAATAGATGAGGGAATATACTGGATAATGTGTTTTTGAGACTATATTACGCTACAATACTTGATTGTCAACATCCCGTTCATCGTCGTAAATAGTACTTGTCACGCGAAAAATATGTGGATCTGACTACACAGTTGGTACACGTATTCAGAAAGGAAATTTAAAGCAAAAACCTTCCTCAAAAAAGAATTCTTCTGTCAGAATGAGAGTATGTAAATAATATTTGCTTCTCTTTGATATATACATCAACGACATTATTGTGATCACACGGAGGCTGCGCTTCGAGATAACCGAGTTTTGAAATTTGCAGAAAATAATCGATATCAATATTCGCAGAGAGAAAGCCCAAAGTAACACCATTCTGGCGTGAAAGTATACTGATCAGATCGGATCTATGAGTGTAAAATTTTAATTCGGGTTGGTAAATAGATCATATGCTTTGAACGGACAGAATTCAGAACCGTACTGCTCTAGCCACATTCATTAACTCGTAAGACTAATAGAGTCTCAGAACTAAATTATATGTTAAATTGATCACGTCTTTTTGTAATCGGATAACAAAAATTCAGTAAATAATCTTATTGGATAAAGGAAATCCGACTCACATTTCGTTTCTAGTGAAGAGCATAGTGAAGTCAAATACTCGTTTGATCTGCTAGAATCTTCTCGTGTCTGAATGAGAATACGAGTAAACGGACTGGATCAATATAT